ATCTTTGCTTCATTTTTGTCCTCCTTGAGTTCTTCTTTCCTAAAAACAAACATTTTACATTTGTCACTATTTTAACTGAAAAGGCAAACGGATCAAGTTCATTTGAAAGAAATTACTTTTTCTTCAATGTCATGGACTATGATTTTCGAACTTTTCCAAATTATTGTCGAATATACCATGATTTATGCGAAAGTGACTTCAAAATTATGCTTTAATTGGTTATTGTTGTTGATTTTTTTAAAAATATAGTTAACTTTTTTAAAGTCAGCTTAAATTTCTCAGATTACTCTCATCGTCATAGCGTCTAGCATCGTTTCAACCTTGAGCAGTTATTTCTGAATGTCTTCCATGCAAAAGGAACTCCTTTTCAAGGCCAATTGAGGAATCGATTCATCAAATTCTTCTGGCTCTGAGCCTAAATAAAATCGTCTTCTTTTTCTTGACATTTTATGGATGAAAGACAAAGACAAAATCAAACAAACAAACAAACAAAAACCGACTAAAGTAAGTTGAATTGAAAAAGTTAAGTGTGCTAATCGGTTTATTATAGAAAATTGCTCATTAAAATCAGACTTACTCTTTTTTCATAAAATCAAATGTCACGTTATCCCCTATCAGCACAAACGGAGCCCATTGGGAAGGTTTGGGGAAACCATTGCTTCTCAACCATTGAACGGCCTGGTGAAGAGACTCACTGGCACTTTCTCCACGCACAAGGTGTTCGTAGAAATGATTCATGAGCTGCTCCGTTGCTTCGTCTTCTATAGCCCAGGATGCTACCAACACCGAACGTGCACCGGATGCTAAGAATGCACGAGCGATTCCAAGGATTCCTTCCTTTTTAACCAATCCCCGCCCACTGTGACAACAGCTGAGTACTACCAGTTTAGCTCGCACTTGAACTCCTTGAATTTCGGACATAGTCAGGAGGTAGTCTTCCTCTTGAGGAGTATGGTTAGTAGTGCGTTGAGGAGAGAGGGCAATCTCTCCTCTTTCGGGATGTCCATGAGCGGCAAGATGTATCAGACTTACCGAAGGTATCGCTTTAAGTACTGCCTGCTTTGTTGCGCCACTTCCTAACAAAGGCTGAACGCCCAGCAGTCGACCAACCATCTCTGCTTCCTTTCTTGCACAGCGCAATGGTGTAAAGTTAGTGAGACGTCCATTGTAATGCACTTCGCCGACCGTAGGATCACCCACAACCAGCGCATCAGTTAGACTGTGATAGTCCGCTGGACATTCTTGAATGATTCGGAGAGTCGTTAGTGAAGGGAAGATACGGATTCTGTACTTCTCCGATAAATACTTTCCGGCAGATTCATCACGCAAGGCAGCAAATGGGACTCGGTACGAAAAACGATCCGGCACAATGATGATTTCGGGCTCTGTAAGTAAGTCTGCCACGGGTGCGACGATCCATTTGTAGCACAATTTATGAATTCTTTCAGTATCTTTGGTTTGTTCACCTCGCAAATTTGCTCGGCTCTCTTTATGAAGAGATTTCGTCACGTTGTCATCCAAAGATCGATCTTCGCAGTTCTCTGTGGGTAAAACGCCGAAGCCAGCGGCACTCTTTTTGAAAATTCCTTCCACATCGCAAACTTGCTCGTCAATAAGAGTGTCTAGTTCCACTTTGTCAGTTTTGCGAAAGCAAGTGTCTCCATTTGTTTTCAATACCCAGAGAAGAAGATGCCGCTCTCTGTACGAAATGTACAGGAAAACACAGTCACTTTCTCTCCTCACAATGTTTTCAATCCCGAACCATGATTGTGGATCAGCTGAGAGGTGGCTTTCCACGGAGTACTTGTCTGCCATTAATTCTGCGAGGACTCTTGCTCGTGCCAGTTCCTCAACATAGAGAGCTTCTCGAAATTTTTCAATATAGCAAAGCAAGTCAGTGAGTAAATGGTAGGGAAAAGTACCGTGTACCTCCAACAGAGAGATTTCAAATTCACTGTTTCCTTTCAGAAAAGTTCTGATTTGCTCGTATTTTGCAATACATTGAAGAAGAAATTCCTTTGCCTCCACAACCTCTGACTGCGATATCTTTAATAAAGTAATACTGAGAAGGCTTTTAAACTCAAGCATCTTGTATCCAGTTTGGTTGGTTATGGAATAAGCTTTCTCTAAACAATCTTCTGCCTTGTTACATTCACCGAGCAATCGGTATATATTGGCAATGGTTAAACAAATTCCTGCGTCGATATCTCTATCGCTACATTCTCTGCTGATGGTAAGCGCTTTCACACAATATTCTTTTGCTTTCTGATTGTCATTCACAGAAGCAAAAACACTTGCCAAATTTACTGTTGCGTTGGCTTCTAGTATTCTGTCACCACTTGCTATACTGATGCCGATTGCCTTGTCGAAATATTCTTTAGCTTGCCGATTTTTTCGAAGCCTAAAATAAACATCCCCAAGACTCAAATATTCTCTTCCTTTTGTCACGCCGATTTCTGTCTTAATGGCAAGTGCCTTCTCGTAATATTCTTTAGCCTTCTGATATTTGCCAAGAGAATAAAACACATATCCGAGCCCCCTGTTGCTTGTTCCTTCTGCATACCTGTCTCCAATTTCTATCGCGATCGCAAGAGCTTTCTCGAGATATTCTTTAGTCTTCTGATATTCGCCTAGGGAACTAAACACAATTCCGAGGTCCGCGTTTCTTGTTCCTTCTGCTTGCCTGTCTCCAATTTCTATCGCGATCGCAAGAGCTTTCTCGTCACATTCTTTAGCCTTCGGGTATTTGCAAAGGGAATAAAGCAATTTTCCGAGGTTTTCGTTAATTATTCCTTCTCCGTGTCTGTCGCTAATTTCTATCGCGATGGCAAGTGCTTTCTCGTAATATTCTTTAGCCTTCTGCAATTCATCAAGGGAACCGAACACAACTCCAAGGTTCACGGTAGTTCTTGCTTCTCCTTGTCTGTCGCCAATTTCTATCGCGATGGCAAGAGATTTCTTGTAATATTCTTTGGCCTTCTGATATTCGCCCAGGGATTTAAACACATTTCCGAAGGTCCCGTAAATCGTTCCTTCTCCTTGCCTGTCGCCAATTTCTATGGCGATGGCAAGTGCTTTCTCGTAATATTCTTTAGCCTTCTGCAATTCACCAAGGAAATCGAACACATTTCCAAGGTTCACGGTAGTTCTTGCTTCTCCTTGTCTGTCGCCAATTTCTATCGCAATGGCAAGTGCTTTCTCGTGATATTCTTTAGCCGTCTTATATTTGCCAAGGGAATGAAATACATTTCCGAGGCTCCCGGCAGTTGTTCCTTCTCCTAGTCTGTCCCCAATTTCTATCGCAATGGCAAGTGCTTTCTTGTGATATTCCTTAGCCTTGTAATATTTGCCAAGGGAATGAAATACATTTCCGAGGTTCCCGTTACTTGTACCTTCTTCTTGTTTGTCGCCAATTTCTATCGCGATGGCAAGTGCTTTCTCGTGATATTCTTTGGCCTTCTGATATTTGCCAAGGAAAAAAAACACATTTCCGAGGCTGTCATTAATTCTTGCTTCTTCTTCTCTGTCGCCAATTTCGATCGCAATGGCAAGTGCTTTCTTGTGACATTCTTTAGCCTTCTGATATTTGCCTAGGGAAACAAACAAAGATCCGAGGTTCCCGTTACTTGCTTCTTCTCCTCGTCTGTCGCCAATTTCTATCGCCATGGTGAGTGCTTTCTCGAAGTGTTTTTTTGCTTGCTGCATTTCACTGAGGCTCATACATACAGTTCCAAGTCTTTCATGAGCCATTGTTTCTTCAGTTTTGTGACCAATTGTTTGCATGATGATGAGTGCGCTATTGAAGAGTTGCTTTGCCTCAACAAACCGGCGCTGTGTTTCATATTTGTCTCCCAGTTGGAAGTTTAGTCTTCCAGCGTGGTGAAACGTGTAAAGAAGTTTCTTGGTATATCTTTCCGCACTTGTGTTACCAGAGATGCCGTAGTATGCATTGGATATTACATCGAAGATATCAAGCTGACTACCACAGTCAAGGTTTTGAAGTAGAATTGCACATTCATTAGACAACTCAGTCGCTTGTGGGCCACGATCAGTGTTGAGAAGAAATATGACGACATTTAAACCAAACTGGACTGATTTTAGAATTTCTGCAGCGTCACTCATTACGAATCTTTCCTGTTTGTTGTTATGACAAAGAATTAGCAAAAAAGAAAACTTTAAAAAGTTGAAATAATAAAAACTGATCATTTCCACTGAGATTGTTTAAATTAGCAGAAAAAGTCGGCAAATATTTGAATTCAACTCAAAGAATGTACATCAACATGATTTTCTCTGGAACTTCTATTGATCATACGATGATAGGACGGGATAGGATGGAAAGATTTAAATGGCGCCTTCCACGCGTCGCGAGCGTCACGCGCGTGTCTTGGACAGATCACCAAGCTGCCTGGCAGCTGAAACAGGACAGATTTCAATAACGCTTTCAGCCGAGGAAGTAGGTTTTCTTCCACTTTTAAATTGAAATAATAGCATTTATGTCTTTCGTACGTATCAGTTTAAAAAAAAAATGTTTTGACTTTTCTAGAAGAAAATAATTTCAGTCATTTTAATCAGGAGAGAGGATCAAGCGCAAGCTGTCACTTATTCCGTGAACGGGAGGTGGCGGTACTATTTTATTCAGTCTTTAAAGGAGGTTCTTATTTTCTACTCATCTTGCACAGGCGCTTTTCCGCCTACATGCACGCTCTTATCACTTGCTTCAGCTCGAGTCGTACTCGTACTTGTAGTCTTTACTTGACCTGATTCTCAGCTTAAAGTTGAAGATTCTTTGAATGAATACAATTCATATCGACCCTTGACAATTGAAATATTAAAGTAGATAAGGTGTTTCCTTTTTATTGGCATTCTTTCACCGTGTTTTGTCCTACTGGAAGTTATATGAAGATTCGAAAAATCAGTTCTTCTCACACTTTATAGTGGTTGGCAGCTAAGAAGGTCGACTTGGAGGAAGTGGGTTTTCCTTGCTTGAATTGTTTTGGCAATTAATTCTGAAAACTATCACATTCGCGCGAAACTTTTAATGGCATTTCAAATTTCTGTGCTTCATTGAGGTGTCATACAAAAGCTGTCAAATTGAATTTCAAAAGGGGGATGCCAAAGGGTTTACACGTGACCCTGATTAAGGCCAAAATTAATATTTGACGCGTGAATTTTACAGAAAAGCGATCGTGATTCGTGAATTTATGATTTAGTGTGTGGCGTGATTTGCCTCCTCAAATATGTTACCCATGAATTTCTTCTTTCATCTCGTGAAATCCTCAAGAACCTTCTACACAAGCCAAGAGATTTGAAGTTTTGCCTTTCAAATAAGTGACGCGTGAATTTTTATGAAATTCTTACATGAAATCCTGTCAGGATCATGAGTCCGAGTCCTCTCACTCGGGGACTCACTCTCTATGATGTCCATGGTTGTTTGACTCAGAATCGAGGCGAATTAATAATTTTTAATCAATACGAAGATATCCATCTACGCGACGTAGATCAGTTTCGTTGCGTGGAAGACAAATTTGATGGAGATAAATTCAACGAAATGAAAATTACAATCTACAATAAAACGAAGAATGAAACCATTCAACTGTGTCCAAAAACGAAACTAAGAGGCAATCAAAATGTAGAAATATACTGACTATAAAAAACCGGGGGCTTACCTTTGAACACAGACTCTGCCGTCAGACTCCGATGGTTTGACTAATGAAACACAAGTAAAAAATATGAAATGAGATTTTTTTCCCACAGAAACAAACGTAAATACAAATAGCTTGCGTAACAACATTTTACTTACACGTTAGTAATAAGAAATCACCACAATGAAAAAAAGAAAAACCTGAGATGGAAGAAAGATTGTTTCCCAGGTTGCTCATAAGATTCATTATATAACATATGGCATCTTCTTATTTTACATCATCACAGAAATGATGAACATATAGCTTCTCCTTACAATATCAATATATCATACAGCAATTAAGTGGTGAGAGTAAACAGACTCATCATGTAGAGGGTGTTACCTCTCTCATTATTAAGTTGCAATTATAAACATTTAAGCGCACTGTATTTCTGAAATAAACATTTAGCCTCTCGCCTTTGAAAAAGAAACGATCTCTGGATAGGTAGAATACCAAAATCAAGAAACTAATTTTAAAAAATCTCTGAAAAGCAATGAAGAATGCAAAGAGCCAGTGAAAGATCGAATATGAAAATTATTGGTAAAAAGTAATCAATGTAAAAACCTAAGAAGGATGGAACTTGCATTACAACTTGCCTATAAGATATCAAAAAAAATATTGGAGTCTGCAAATCATTAATAATAGTTTAGTGGTTTAACATTGCCCTTTCTCCAATTTCTTAAAAACTTTCAAGTTACAGGAGTGAGGAACATGTTGCTTCTCTTTCCAAATTCAACATATTACGCAGTGAACAAGCGGCGAGAACACTTATCAGCTGAGAGTGTTTTCGTAAAACAACACTAAATTCTTCCTACTGACGAACAAGGTAAAGTGAAGGAGCTAAATGGAAGAATTACTGATACGATTATAAATTCAAAGGGTTAACGTGCATGACGCAGACCTTAAATATTTTTTAGTCAAGTCAAAATTTGATTTGAATTTAGTAGGTCTCCACAAGTATTATCAGACTCTTTGGAATTAGAACCTTTTTATCACTTAAATTTCTCAAATCTAATTTATATCCGAAATATATATTTCTCTTGAAAAAACGAGTTTTTTTTTCAGGTGCTAACCTTTTTAAAAGTAAACACGGGTTTTATTGTTTGAGAGATGAGACCGAAAGCCGTAAGAAACAAAGATAACTGCAAGCAGCTCGTGTAAGAACAAAGTGTCGAGTTTGATAGGTTAAAAAAATCACTTAAAATGTCTGCAACGAGATTTTAAACTGTAGTTGGTAGTATCTTGCTCTGAATTGTATCAATACGAATTTCCATTTTGCTCACACTGCTCATTGACAAATATTGTGGCTCCTTCTCTTAAAATCAAGATTTGCTGTTCTTGGATTTGATTTCTGTTGCGCCTGATTTGAGGTGGCGACAACAGGGGAAAGGAATGTACGCTATTTTG